CCTTTGCTTAAGCTAGAGAGAGCTGCTCACCCAGGGACTTTCTCTTTCCTACCTTCCTCCTCCCCACCCCCTCCTGATTGACACCAGTGCTAGCTCTGACATGATTTAAAAATAGATATTAAGACAAGGAAGTTTAATTTTTAATGCTGTGGAAAGGAAGTGAACACAGAACTGGCATTCCCCTCATGGCAATGTTCCAGGGGTCTCAGGGTATCTGCCACAACTTTCATCTGTCCCTGTGCCCCCATGTAGAGCCACATACGATCCACCCTTGAGATCTACTTACAGCAGCCCCCTGGGAAAGCCTGGAACCCTCTGCCCCTGAGCACTGTAAAAAGGCCTGAAATGCCTCTTGCACCCAGGTTAGCCTGCTTCTCCTCTGCTGGAGAGGCAGGATCTGAACACAAACCCCTCAAGCCCACTCACATACCCTCAGGACAAAAGGCCCCCCACAGGGTCCTTACAACACTCCAAGCCACCTGACACAGTTCAGAGCCCACAGAAACACTCAAGATGTGGCCAAGCTAGTACCAAACATGTGCCATCAACTCAGCTGGAAAGTCTTGACCACACTGCCTGCACCCAAAGGCAGTGAGCAGTCTGAGCAGGGCCTGACCCCACTTAAGGGAGCTTAATCAGAGCCCCATCAGCACCCTGCCCAAGGCCACCCCATGCCAACCTTTCCCCTGCCCCAGCAGGCTCACTGCGCACTGTCTTCTCAGCTAATTAGCCTTCATTAAGGGAGCCATCCACAAGGAATAGACTTTCCAATGGGCCAGAATGTCACTGCTCTGTCAGCCGTGATTTAAAGTGATGGGACAGCTCTGCTGGCAAGCATGAAAAGTGACCATTATCCTGAGTGGCAGCTATCCCAGCAGCCCTAACCCCACCCTTGCCCCTCCATAGCAGACAGCAGCTTGATTTTAGGCTGGGAGGAGCTGGGGTAGACATGATTAAGAAGGGGACATATGCTGCCACCACGCAGAAGTCCCCATTTCAGCCTACCCCATGTGCTCTCTCCTCTACTAGCCTTTAAAGTCCTGAGCCTTCTGTAGCTCAGCAGCTAGGGCGCCAGCCACATACACTGGGGCTAGAGAGTTCAAACCCAGCCCGGGCCTGCCAAACCACAGGAAAAAAAAAATAGCTGGGCATTGTGGCAGGTGCCTGTAGTCCCAGCTACTTGGGAGGCTGAGGCAAGGGGATCACTTGAGCCCAAGAGTTTGAGGTTGCTGTGAGCTGTGACGCCACAGCATTCTACCAAGGGTGACAATAGTGAGACTCTGTCTCAAAGAAAAATAAAATAAAAAACAAAGTCCTGAGCTTCATTTGCTCTTTTGGACAGGCTTAGATTCATTTAATCTCTACCTGGAGTATTCTACCAGATAAGCCTGGAAGGACCCAGGGATAGCAATGACTGAGGGAGATGCTCCAAATGGTTTCCACTACCAGGAGAAATACCCTGGGGTGGGTATGCTCACTGGTAGACAGGACTTAGCAAGGGGAACCCTTTGTCCCAATTCAGGTCTCCTATTCCCTATCCACTGAGAAGCCAGCATTCTCTTGGGCCCTAAGAATCAGGGTGGGAGATGCCAGAGACAAAGAGGTACGACTCAGTCAGGAGTCCATAGCCCCACAAATGCCGCACTTCCGGGTGCTCCACACTCCTACAGAACACGGGGCTCCAACATGGCCAGCACTGCCTAGCTGAAGTCATGTGCAGTGCCAGAAGCGGACCTGGATCCCCAGCAGCAGGCAGGCACGCAGCAGTATGTTAGGCACCTGCTCTTTTCTCAGTGAGGAGGAGGAGCCCCAGCACAGGGCTCTGCCTCCTATCCTGCCCCCAGTGACGTCACCCAGGCCCTCACCAATACCAGTGCCGCAGAAGCTCCACCCAGTGGCCAGGAACCAGGCTCCCGCACACCCGGGGAGGGTTGCAGTATAAGGCAGCTGCGCCTCTCCTCCGCACTGGAAATCCTCCCATCAGGCTTAGAGGAGATAGGGGGTGTGGCAGCAGCAGCAGCGGTGGGTTTGGATAACTACCAGGTAGGCTCCAGGATCTATGGAAAGAGCTGTATCTATTGACTACAGTCCTCAGGTTCAATTCTAATGTTTCAGAAATGCCTCCTTTTGGGATTGGAGCCATAAGACTAGAACAAGTGATGGCTACATAATTCCTAACAACTGCTCCCAATCCCAGAGGGCTGGCCATGACCAGTGCTGCTTACTCCCCTGCACCGGCGCGGCAACAGAGGCCTCCCAGGGACCTTCCCATCAACACTCCACCCACCTTGTAGGTTTTCTCTTCTCATTTGGCTCTTTGCTCCCTCCCCTATATCAGGCCAAGCACCTGCCTGCAAGAAGTCTTTGTATGAATGGAGCACAGTGAACCACCACCTCCAAATCCTAACACTCTGCTACACCTGCCCAAAACACAGTGGCCAAAACTCTTACACACGCAAGCACCTATTTCTCTTCTGAATCTCCCATCTTTCCTAAAGTCTGTGTCTTATTTCATTATCTCATATACTACTAGCATAAAAGAACTGGGTCTTTGAGACTCAATTTTTCCCAGTTTATAGCATGTCATGGGAATTCTGAAAATATTAAGTAATTACAAAAATCAGAGGCTAGAGAGAGCAACTCGCTGCCTGATAAGAAGGTATAGTCAGCACCTGCCAGTTAGGAAAAGAAAGCAGGTTCTCTCACTGTAGACCATAAAAGGACATTTCATCAACTAGTTCATTAACCTCTGCCAAGCGTTTAAGGGAAAATGTAAACATCACTTGTCACCCATAGAAAAGGTATGAGAAGAGCTTTTATCAGAGGCAAATGTGACATTTAACTTCTCTTCCCCATCAAGCAGGACTCGGGAACCCATTCTGCATAATAACATGTTGCAACTTACCACTCTGGCCCTCCATTCACTCACGAATGTATAGTAAGTGTCTAGTATGTATGTGCAGGGCACAGACCACCGTGCTGGCCTGTACGGAGGTCCAGAGGTCCGAAACCAAGCTGGGCCCATCAGGGAGAAGGCAGGCACCATAAAGTTATTCCAGTTCTGGCCAGCAGGTGGCGGGGTGGGGGTGGGGAGAAGCGGGTGCAGCTGAGTAGGGTTGACATGCTAAAGGCACTGAGCTTCTCCCAAAGGGTCTTTCTAATCAGCATTGATCCATGCAAGGTGGGGCAAAATAGAAAGGCAGGTTGAGACTATGAAAAAGGACAGAGAAGAAAGCTGTGAACAACCAAAAGGACAGCGTAGATGTGAATCCAAAAGCACCCAAGAAATACACACCAGTACTTGGCTGACACAGACGCTGGCAAATGAGTCAAAGAAGCAGGAGGCACTTGCCCACAAGGCAGCTACAAAGTCATTCTCGACATTCCAATGGTGCTAGCCACCAGAAAAAGCAATTAGAATATCTGCCCCAGCTTCCATAAAACCCTAACCACATGACAGGTGATATCCTAACAGCCGTGGCTGGATGACCCCAGCCCGTGGAGATTAAGTAATTTCAGACCAGTCTTCTTGGAAAAACAGCAGTGTCCCAGGTGGGGAAGGGGAATTCTCTCCACAGAGAATCATGCATTCGTTCACTACCTCCCCACTCAGGATGTCACTAACTAGTGAAGCGGTAACAGTGAGGGAGACCATCATACAACCTCTGCAAGACCAGAAAGAAAGCCCAGTCCTTTAAGGATAAAGTACTTTGTCTAAGGTCACACAAAAGCTAATGCAGGACCAAGACCAGAACCCAGTCGCCTTCCTTCCCAGCCCTGATCTTGCACTTCTGCAGGAAAAGTTGCCCCCTCCACATACACACCCTCCCAAGAAGTTTTTCAACTAAAATGGGTCACTCCACACAAAAGCTGAATACTAAAACTGCACCGTCCCTACCCAACTTCACTCTGAATGACTTTCTCCTGCCCTCAATGCTCTTCCTAGACCACAGGCAGCTGACAGCCTCCCTCGGGCAGGACAGACCCTGGGGCAGAGCCAAACATCTGTGCTATGTCCCTGCTCTGGTGAAGAAAGGCAAAGGCAGCAGTCAGGATGAAAGAACAATGAGAAACAAATTTAACAAGTTTTCAAATCTGCCTAACTAGTACTTCGTATGCACACACATGTGTGTGCACACACGTAAGCTCCAGAATCATACACAGAACAGAGAACAATTCCAAGCTGCCCTAACAGCTGATACTTTCTCTAGAAAATAATCACTTAGCAAGGACAGGGGCACCAGATTGTCTCTTTTGTCCCTTCCAATCACTGGGGCTCCCAGAACCTAGGAGCACATGGCCAGCCAGTTCCCTGCTAGTCCACTGCAATCCCTCAAAAGCAGCAGCCAGCCACCCGATGGCAGCATCCTCCGATAGCATCCCCCCGCACCCCTCCTTTCCCATACAAGCCCCCACTCCGGGGCATATCTGAGGGCAACCAAGTCCATCAGCTTGGGGCAGGGGCTGCTCCGCCTTTTCCTGGGAGTCATTGAAAGGAGTGGAAAGAAGTAGTCTCTATGTCCCACACCCTCGGCTCCATCCCACTCTCATAAAATGCTACATACTGAATTCCTGCTCATTCAGGAGAAACACAAGAAGAAACTCAGAAAACCATCCTCACTTGTACCTATCTCCAAATTGGGGTCACAACTGTTAAAAATTCTGACCCCACACCCAGGGTGCCCAGTGGGAAGCACTTCCAGAATGGATTTTCTTATAGAGGAAGGAGGTGGTGGCAAACTTTGCCAGCCTCCTCGGAGTAGAGCGAATCTCCTGGAAGACAAGCAAGTTGGAGGCCCCCAATAAGCCACCCAGGAGAAGGAGAAAGGAAGAGAAAGATACATAGAAGCAGGGCAGGGGACGATTTAAAGGGAAGGGGGGAAGCACATTTAACCTCGTGCAGAAAGGGAAGCAATGCAGCACGTTAAAGATAAAAGGTATCACCCTACGGTGAGCAGAGAGGACAGGAGGGCAAAGGGAGAGAGAAACGAAGGACTTACCCAGAATATCAAATTGAAGAGGAACATCATGTACTTCAAGCAGCAGAGGCAGCCCCTGGCCATGTTGCACTTCTTAAATTCTAGGAGGAACACAAAGGACAGGTCCAGGTAAAACACCACGTACTTGCTGCCTTTGGGTGCATTGTACTTGTCGGTCTTAACGCCGGCCTCGGCGCGGCTCTGGCCCCGGGAGCTAGCGGTGCCGTAGAAGGCGCCCGCGGTGAAGCCGCGGCCGAATGGGCGGCCCGAGGTGGACGGCTTAGCAAAGTCCGAGTCTTTGCTGTCCAAAGATGGACTCCGGTGGATCGAAGAATCCTCGCTACTCGACTTCTCCATGCTCTCGTCGTTCCCGGGGGGCGCGAGGGGCGGGGGGCATCGCTCCCAGAGTGGGACAGAGGGGGCGCCCAAGTCGGGGCGGGCTGCGAGCGGGCTGGTGGAGCCTTGCACGCCCCCACTCTGCACCCGGGCACACTCGCAGCTGAACCCCCGCGCCCAGGGGAGGCTGCCTCTAGGACTGCTCCCGACTGCTGGCCGGCTAGCCCGGGAGGGCTCTGCGGCGCGGCGCGGCTCTCTGCGCGCCTGTGAACGCTCTCCGGGAACCGGCTTGCCGGCGTAACTTAGTGTCTTTGGGGAGGCTGCTCGACTCCTAGCTGCACCAGCCGCTCCGCGAGAGGCAGAAGGGCACGGGATCCAGGCTCCCCGAGCACACCTCTCAACCCAGCCCCAGCGCTGAGCCCGACTACTTTGCCCGCGCTCCGCCTCCCCTCGCTCCGCGACTTTGCGGAGCTGCAGCGGGCCTGGGCTGCCCCGGCGAGCGGCGGGCAGTGCCGAGGGATCCGCCGCAGCTGCAACCGCTGGGCTTTCCCTGTGAAATCCCAGCCCCGACTCCGACTCCGAAATCGCCTGGAGCCCCCTCCCCCAGTCCTCGGCCCCGCCCCCTGCCTTGCATACAACCAATGGGCGCCTGGCCTGCCGGGCCCCGCTGGGGAGCCACCCCCTCCCCAATGACACAATATCTTTTATAGGATTAGCGTTCTGCCTTGTGCCTATACAAGTGCGCAGCGAACCCTTGCTAAATGTCAAGGGCTCTGTGGCTGGGGGGTGAACCAGAATCTTCATCGGAAAGCACTGGTCTCTTTTACCCGAGAAAGGGGGTGGTGAGAGGAAGGTGATGGTTGGAGGTACCAACGACCCAAGGAAGCTAGCCAAAGGAAAGGTCTAGAGGGGAACGAAAGAGCCGCCACTGTCGAGCTGGACGCCACCCTCTATGCACACGGGGCCTATCTGCCCCGAGGCACGCGGTCTCCCGAACTATATCTACCCACCTACACACACACACACAAGCCCCACGTGGGTCCGACTACCGCGCGCAGGGGAAGGGACCGCTAGGGAGGCGCGAGGTGTGGGAAAGCGCTAAGGCCTCCGCGGGCGCGCGCTACCCGCCCCGTGCACGCGCGCACGCGCGCGCACGTGTACACACACACACAGAGCTCCACCAGACTCCTGCAGCTGCGCGAACCCCTGTCCCCCGCGTTCCCGGGTAGCACGCCGCACCGACTCGGACCCTGGCCTGGCAGACAGGGGCAGGTGGACGAAATGAGGTTCTGCCCTGACTTTCTCCATCCTGCCTACGCCCAAAGTGATGTAGGAGTGCTCTGGGCTGGGTCCTCTCCCCGTGAGGAGTGCACGAAAGGGGCTGATCAGAGGAGAGGCAGGAGGATTGCTCTTGCTAGGGGCTTGAGAACATCCAGGAGCAGCTGTCATCCTACTGCAAAACACTGCAATAGGGCAGCCTCCCATAAGTTTGCACTGCAAACCCGGAGCAAATGATGAAGGACAGGGGGCAGGGAGCCCGGCTCTCTTTTCTGCCGCCCTCCCTGTCGCTCAGCAAGGGAGTGCTGAGGGAGAAGCATGAAGCAAGTTTTACCAGGCTCTGTAACCCCAACACCTATTATGGGGCTTGGCCTCTGGGAGGCGCTCAAGAGGGGTGACCAGATAGAATTCATGCCTCAATTGGGTTGTGAGTGAGGAAAGTCCTCCCTGGTCCCACCCAGCATTTACTCCACTCCTAGTGCTATGTCCTGTGAGCTGAGCATGGGGCCAGGCTCTTGAGGGAACAGATGAGAGGTCTGGGGCCACAATCTAGGCAAGAGGACAGGAGGGCATCAGTCACCAAGGCCATGCAGACTGGTAAGACAGAGGTACTACAACTGGCATGGCTGCAGAGAAAAGGGGCTGGTTCTCAAAACCCTGGATGCAAACCGGCACATATCAGTGGCCTGTTAGGAAATGGGCTGCATAGCATCTCCACCTAACTCTCCTTTCTGTCCAATTGTCCCCTTCCCCCTTCCTCCAGTCTGAGGAAAAATTGTCTTCTATGCAACTGGTCCCTGGTGCCAAAAAGGTTGAGGACCGCTGCTAAGGGGGACATCCACTCCAACCAGAGGGACTTCCAAGACCCTCATCAGAGGTGCTGTGGTGACCCTGTGCTAGTGGGTCTGTACTCTCACCAACTCCCCCCGCAGGCCTATATCCTGGAAGTGACAGCTCTGAGATGCTGCGTGCCACTGGGCTTCTGTAAGGAATCTGCAATGGTTTTACTATTCTGAGCGCCCTCCTAACTTGGAGAGCCCAGCAATAAAACCTTGTGGTATTGCAGCCACCAGCAGCTTATCCTTTCAGTTCAGCACAGCAAGGTCCCATGGATGCTAAGTGCAGATGAAGGGACAGATGTCTAGCTGGTTCCTGATGGAACACCAGGGCTGCCTGACTGGCATGGCTAATACCATTTGTCCTCTGCATCCTCACCTGGCCACTCCTGAGGGGCCCACAGCTGCCACTTCATCCTTACAACATTACTTCTCTGATGCAAGGAGAGATAATCTACCAGCTGCACTGGGAAAAAGGCCTATTTTTCACTTTGAATTCCTTTACCTGTGTGATCAAGAGCAAAGTGTGTGCCTTTCTGAGCTCCAGTTGCTCCCCCTTTAACCTGGGGGTTAAAAGAACCTAGCCCAGAGGAGCTGTGAGCACAAAGTGAGCTGGTAGCCATGAGAACACTTTGAAGAGATAAGGTGGAACAACCAGAGGTGCTATTACTACTCATCTCAGGTGGGGACCTGGTGTCACCAAAGGCCCTTCCAGGCTGGCCTCTTCCACTTTCCAATCTTTTTTCATCTTTCTCCTTTCCCCAGCTCACACCTTATCTAGTCGGAATAGTCTCCCTACTGGCCCTGAATCCTCCCACCTTCATTTCTGATTATGAATGAATTTGTGCCCCTAACCATTTCCTCAGAGGTTTGAGGGTCTGGAAGACCTGAGCTGGGAGGGGCAGACAACAGGCAGGTAAGAGAAGAGTAAGAAGAGGCTGTGCAATGTAACACTTGTTCCCTCTTGATCACACTTGTCAAAAGGGCTCTGAAGTCCCACTTGTCAGTTAGTTCATTAGCAAAGTTGCAGTGAAGTCCCATCAGGGCACACAGCTTAGTCATCGAATAATAAGAGCAACACGAATTTATAAGCTCATGCATATCCTAGGGACCAAGAGTCACACATACCATGTTTCCCCGAAAATAAGACTTACCCAAAAAATAAGCCCTAGCAGGATTTCTATGCAGTTGTTAAATATAAGCCCTACCCCAATAATAAGACCTAGTGATGGGCGTGGCTATGCGCTTCATAGCCACACCATGCATTTCGGTGCAGAGCAGTAAGGAAGACTGGAATACCTGTTATTGGCCACAGCTCCTTTCTCTGAGCCATTCGCACTTGCACAGGTGTGTGTGTGGTAACCTCAGTCGCAGGCTTCCTATTGCACACTTGCGAATGGCTACAGGAAAGGAGTTCACACATCACTAGCGCCAGCCCCACCAACAAGGTCAGCTCCCTCTGTCAGGTTCCAGAAGAAGATGACTTAACTGTATTTGAATAAATGTAGATTGCTGTATTATATTTAATAAAAATAAGACAGCCCCTGAAAATAAGCCCTAGTGCGTCTTCTTGAGAAAAAATAAATATAAGACAGTGTCTTATTGTCGGGGAAACATGGTAGTAACTCATTTAATCCCCAGGACAACCCTACAAAGGACAGACAGAGGTCATTATCTCCATCTGACTGGAGGAAACTGTGAGGTTTCAAAGCCCACGTCCTATACTCTCTTGGACTCTAAACGTAGGTCCTGCCCTTGGGAATCTTCCAGTCTAACAGAATCATAAAGCACAACAGGGAACCTGAAATTGAATGTCCTGATGACAGGTTGTTATATAAAAGGACCCTGAGTAAGGGGCAAATGTGAAAGATAGGGTCAAGAGTGGTGCTTCTGGGCTGCTAATTAGCAAAGGTCAGTCACCTGGAGAGGGCCTTAAATTATCTCATGGAGGGCTGGGAAGAGGAAGTGGGTATGGGGAGAATGTGGTCACCTAGTCCTGTCTTGGTACAAAGGTAGCACAGGAGCCTCAGTAAGGGAGGTTTAGCCAGAATACACCCCTCCTCCTCCCTCTCCCACCATGAACAAACCATCTATTGGTACTGTCCAAGATGGGCAGGACACTAAGCAAGAACCCACAGCAGACTGCAGCTGAGCAGGACAAAGCCCTGGCCTCATGGGGCGCACAGTCTAGCTAAAGAGACCAGCTCTGTCACCCAACCCGAGACTGGCTAGAGAGTCCCAGAGCAGAGTGACACACAGAGCACAAACCATGACAGAACAGGCAGGGACAATCCTTCAGCGGACCCTTGGAGAAGGGCTCTCTGCAGTAGGTAGACACTCTGGAAAGGCCTGGTAAGGTACACTGAGGAGGCAGTGAGGGCACAGACCTACCTGAGTGGGAGGATGGTCTGGGGGTCAAAAGGAGCTACTCTATGAGGCACCTGAGGTCAGGACTGTGTCCTGCAGCTTCCCAAGCAGGGGAAGCCCATGACAAAACCAGTGCCCTCAGATGCTGGGCCTGGCAGCAGGGTAGTGAGGCATGATGTGAAAGAACCAGCTGCTGTCGCTACCACAGTGTCTTAGATCTAGGGTGCAAAAAGAACAAGCAGGTAGGACAGCTGATGTGAGACACCACTTCTCCTGCCAACTCC